TCTCTCTCTCTCTCTCTCTCTCTCTCTCTCTCTCTCTCTCTCTCTCTCTCATCCCCTTAATTTTCCTCCTCACAAGAAGAGTGGTGGTTTTTGGTTGAGGAAATCCTCTAGATCCAAATAATAATAACAACAGTTTCAATTGTGCTTAAAGGAACACACAACTATTATGATTCTAATAATATAATAGTTAATTATTGGAGGTTTATCGACTGGATAAAAAAACTTCATATGTGGAGGTCACATGTTTTTATGTTAAGGCATTTTATTTATATTACTTGTAGGACTGTATATTGCCTGTCACCTTTCATGCCAGAGGTGGATGTTGAGAAATGTTTTTTTTACAGTTGTTTTGGTCAAACCTTGACAGTAACGTTCTGCACAACCTCATGCAAAATTGCAAGATGTCACAATCATGACAGTGTTACAGATGACTCTTCTATGCCACATATGGCTACAGCCACACCAAGTTTTAGTTAAGTAAATTATATTTTTGTGTTGGCTGTTGTTGACCAAATTAGAATCCTTTAAGTGTTTTTTGAGATTTTGCTAACAGACGCACAAAAATTTCAAATTTTTGCTCATTTTGTTTCATGTTGTTCATCTTCGTTGTGAGTTTTGTGTTTAAATGACCTCAGTCTGCCAGGGAGTAAGGATTTTACTCCTTTAAAACAAGCCTTTAGTTTCCTGTTACTTTCTTTTCCAAAACTACAAGCTGCAGAAATCCTTTTAATAAATATACAGCAATTCCAAAAGCTACAACAAAATTTAAAAAAAATTAATTTTCTGAACTTTCTTTGGTATTCAACAGTTGTCACAGTAGAATGTTGAGTTTTGAAGAATATTAATGAGAGATTCTGTGTAAAAAGGTAGTGCAAATTAATGTGTTTAACAAAAACTAAGCAAGCCATTTACATAGCTTCAGGTAAATCTGATGCATTACCAATGGGTGGTTCAAAAACATTTATGTAACTAGCCCAACTAATATTCCAAATAGTTTTCTTTAATTTTTCATTTCTACTTTGTGCCTCTGTAGGTAACATCAGAAACACAGAGCGGCTGAGTTATGACAAACAGCAGAGCTATAAGATTATGGTTTCTGCCTTTGACTGCGGCCAGAAGAAAACCAAAGAGGACGTGGCAGTTCATATTGAAGTCAAGCCTGTCTGCAAACCTGGATGGCAAGGTCAGACATAATGAGACAACCAGAATGTTTTACCTTGAAATATTTACAGCAACAGACTTATAAATGTTAGAATAAAATGTTTACATACATGACTTATAGGTATCTACAGGTGCTGGTCATAAAATTAGAATATCATGAAAAAGTAATTTATTTCAGTAATTCCATTTAAAAAGCGAAACTTGTATATTATATTCATACATTACATACAAACTCATATATATATTTCAAACAAATGACAACAAATGAAAATCTCAAATTCAGCATATCAGAAAATTAGAATCTTGTGAAAAGGTTCAAAATGGATGGCACCTGGTACCACACTCTAATCAGCTAATTAACTCAAACCACCTGCAAAGGCCTTTAAATGGTCTTTCAGTCTAGTTCTATAGGCTACACAATCATGGGGAAGACTGGTGACTTGACAGTTGTCCAAAAGACGACCATCGACACCTTGCACAAGGAGGGCAAGACACAAAAGGTCATCGCTAAAGAGGCTGGCTGTTCACAGAGCTCTGTGTCCAAGCACATTAATAGAGAGGCGAAGGGAAGGAAAAGATGTGGTCGAAAAAAATGTACAAGCAAGAGAGATAACCGCACCCTGGAGAGGATTGTGAAACAAAACCCATTCAAAAATGTGGGGGAGATTCACAAAGAGTGGACTGCAGCTGGAGTGAGTGCTTCAAGAACCACCACACACAGACGTATGAAAGACATGGGTTTCTGCTGTTGCATTCCTTGTGTCAAGCCACTCTTGAACCACAGACAGCGTCAGAAGCGTCTTGCCTGGGCTACAGAGAAACAGGACTGGACTGCTGGTGAGTGGTCCAAAGTCATGTTCTCTGATAAAAGTAAATTTTGCATTTCCTTTGGAAATCAAGGTCCCAGAGTCTGGAGGAAAAGAAGAGAGGCACTTCATCCACGTTGCTTGAAGTCCAGTGTAAAGTTTCCACAGTCAGTGATGGTTTGGGGTGCCATGTCATCTGCTGGTGTTGGTCCATTGTGTTTTCTGAGGTCCAGGGTCAACGCAGCCACATACCAGGAAGTTTTAGAGCACTTCATGCTTCCTGCTGCTGACCAACTTTTTGGAGATGCAGATTTCATTTTCCAACAGGACTTGGCACCTGCACACAGTGCCAAAGCTACCAGTACCTGGTTGAAGGACCATGGTATCCCTGTTCTTAATTGGCCAGCAAACTCTCCTGACCTTAACCCCATAGAAAATCTATGGGGTATTGTGAAGAAGAAGATGCAATACACCAGACCCAACAATTCAGAAGAGCTAAAAGCCACTATTAGAGCAACCTGGGCTATCATAACACCTGAGCAGTGCCACAGACTGATCGACTCCATGCCACGCCGCATTGCTGCAGTAATACAGGCCAAAGGAGCCCCAACTAAATACTGAGTGCTGTACATGCTCATACTTTTCATGTTCATACTTTTCAGTTGGCCAACATTTCTATAAATCCTTTGTTTTTATTGGTCTTCAGTAATATTCTAATTTTCTGATATGCTGAATTTGAGATTTTCATTTGTTGTCATTTGTAATCATCAAAATTAAACAAAATAAACATTTGAAATAAATGAGTTTGTATGTAATGTATGAATATAATATACAAGTTTCACTTTTTAAATGGAATTACTGAAATAAATCTACTTTTTCATGATATTCTAATTTTATGACCAGCACCTGTATAGATGAGTAATGTCATATTAGCCTGAAGGAGGGAATTAAGAGCAGCATTGGCAGATCCTACTCTTGAAGAAACATCTATCTCATTTTCGAATGAGCGTCTTAGAAAAGAAATCAGAGGAGCTGACAAAAAATCTCCAGAGGGAAACCTGACTGGAGTGATATTTTTTTTGTTTTCCTTCCAACAACTTGGCATTCGAATCAGCCCATCTCCCCAGCTGCTTCACCTGTCTGCACTGACAGCAACTTGGGAATCAGACTCATGCAGGAATGAGAGAGAAAGACAGAAAGATGGGCAGAGAAGGAGGAGAGAGCGATGAGGAAAGAGGAAAATTGACCAGGCAACTCAGACAGAAAGAAGCTTAAGTGATGAGGAGTGTGTAATGACTGTTCTCACAGACTGACCTGAGTGGAGATAAATGACCCGATTAATCATCTGTTCTTTGTTTCTTTCTCTAATACACTCTAAATCTGTGGTTTTATTATCTCTAAAACATTCTGTTGTTTTTGTATACGGAGGTGTTGCAACAGTTTGTGGTGAAGGAAATTATCTGCAACAGTTCCTCATGTGACTTTTTTCCTCTGATGGAGAGATTTACTCATCAGAGGAAACATTTTCAACACAAATATTCTACCTCTGCATAGTCAACACTATAACAAACAAAACTAATAGCACCTAAATATGAACTAATTTTCAGAGTTCCTGGACTTATGTAGATGGAGGAGTTTAATGTTTGCTAAATTAAATTGTACAAATCTCAAAGAAACTGAGCTGAAATGTGGTAAAAGTGGTTTAACCCTAGATCTGAACAGCCAGAGAGAAACAACATGATTCAAACTGACCAAACAGGCCATACATTTTTGTATCAAACAAAGCCTCATTAACTCATTAATTACATGTAAAGTATTGAGTCTTTATGTGTTGTTTTTGTGTTGACCATGTGTGAAAATTATACGTGTTGAAAACATGCAAACATCCCGTTGTTTACGTGCAAATAGCATGCGGTGAACACAACAAAATCACACGAAAAGTCACGTTTTTGGCCTTGCTGGCTTTCCATATACTTTGCCCTTCACAGAACACTTCATGCTGGATCTGAGAATCTCTCTTCTCGCTGTAAATAATTAAAGGACCAAGACCGGATGGTGAGATGAAGTCAAAATGCCTCGATTATGCCTCTAAGCTGCCATATGAGGAGCAGTGGAGGTGTAATGGTTAATTTATGTAAGGGTACGCCAGGATCATAGCTTGAGGGTGTGATGTAGCGATGGCAGTCTGTGTGGCCAGCCGGCTGTGGGATTTACTATGGGAGATGTCCGACATGCGTTTTATGTAGTGCTCCACATCAACGCCACTGAGTTACTCTCCATACTTCCTTTGGTTTTGTGATGACATTGTCTCAGTGTGTGAACGACTCAATTGTTGAATGTAGAAACAGCCAGAGGCTGCTTAAAGAGGGTCTCTTTTCAGCCACATCACAGAACTCTTTTATGAAAGGTGCTCTTGTAACCTGAGCAAATCTCTGACGTTCTTCACAAAAAAATAAGGAAATAAATTGTATGCTATCTGTTTAAAATCATGTACAAACACTTAAAACATTAATTCTAACTAATAATAACTTTATTTTCTTCCTGTTTAAAAGCAGTTTATTTTTTCATGACCCTTTTTCTGTTTTTCTGTTTTTCTCTTATGCTACTGATAAATGAAAAAAAACACCCATCGGGGCACAGCTTTAGTTTCTGTGTGGGCTCTAGTCTAAATGTGAGCAAAAAGAATCCTGCAAAGCACTCCCTGTCGTAATCAAAGTTTTATCACTGTGAATGCAGCCTAGATGAGCGTATCAAGTAAATCAAACCAAAGCTGTTTGCTTCTGATTGAAATTCAGGCCCCTTTTCTTGTTCATATTCTACCATACAAATCATTTGCAGCTCAAAAAGAATAGATTTAACTTGCAGAATTTTCCTATAGAATCTGTGGCTCCTTTTTCTTTTAAATATACAGAAATAGATTATGACTACGAGTTTGAAAGATTTTTTCCTTCTTTTTGCAAAAGCTACACAACCATTATTCAAATTCCAAAAATATTTCTTCCATTTTGAATTAAAAATGTTTTAAGCTTGCTATTGTTCTGAATTTCACATGTTGTGACCAGGTACCAGTTATAGATAAATCTATAAACAAAGATTAAACTAAAAGCAAGATCCATTTGTGAACTTAAAGCACATTGTCTAACTGATGTAAATAAAATAGTTTAGATTTTAAAGACAATCACTGAAAAGCCTCTGGGTTAGAGTGTCCAGGAAGTGTACGAGTGCAGAGTGAATTAATAATGCAGTCTGAGCGAAACAGGATATTGCTTTATATATAAAGACGTCTTCTGTCATAGCTTTTTGCAGAGACCAGAAGAGGTAAGTATTATGTCCAATCTAAAACAAAACAACTTTTCAGAACATTGAATCAACTGTAAACATTCACTGTCTCTGGAAATCTCCTCTATTATTCTGATTAATGTTGCATTATTATTAAATCAATCAAATTTTAAATATCAAATTTTTTTGTAATTTCAGCTCATAAACTTGCAATAAAGCAAAACTATTAACCCATATAAAGCTTAATGTAAAACTGTCGACCCTTAGTGGCTTAAAAGCATAAATAATACATAAGCAGTGATGGATTCAGACCCGTTTCTCTGAACACTCCTCTGTAACTCATTTTTATCATGTGGGTAAAGGTCAGCAAAGCTTTTTGAAGAAGTCTCCCCAGCGCTAATGGAGACTCCACATTGTCTCACCCTGCCTTCCTAATCACGTTTTTTTTTTCTCTTTGAGATTTGTCTCAGGAGACTTTATATCACTTCTAACACGATGTGCACACAGTCTTTTACACAATCAGGATGTTGAATCTCTTCTGCCGCACCAGCTGAGGCATTCGTGTGCATGTAAAACAAAAGGTAAACAGCTTTGTAATGATTACAGCCAAGTACCGGCTCTAAATTTATATTTAGCAGGGATTTTTATTGGCTGTAATAATTTTAATCCAGGTGCTGTTTATTAAACCCAGCACAACGCAGTATACATGTATGTATTATATAAGACATCTAAGTCAAAGAATGATGAAGGAAATATTCAAATACATTGTCACAGCTGAGTTATGTTTAGTCTCAATGTTCCTGCGTGATTTAATAAAGAATAAACCAACCAAAAGATAACAGCACAAAAATTGTGTTGTTTTTTGTGAGACACTGAGATTTAAAAATAAAATAAAATTGGTTCAAAATGCACATTTACATTTTCTTCATTATATCCGTCATTTCAAATGTGAAAAATGGCTACAGGCTGGAACAAGAGAGTGGACTATGAGCCAGGGACTGGCAGCAAGCAGCTGTTTCCCAAGATGCATTTGGAAACATGTGGGGGTCCCTTGTCTGGTGTAAAGGTGATGGTGGAGCTGCAGACAAATCACATCGGAAAGGGCTGCGACCGTGAGACTTACTCTGAAAAGTCTTTGCAGAAACTCTGCGGTGAGTATAAAGAAGAATGGGAGGACTTGGAGAGCTCAACTTTTCAACCTTAAGCTGATTTTTCATGTTACGTTGAAGTTTTTTTTTCAATCTATGTTTAAAATGTCTAAACTTCGATGTTCAGGTGCGGCGTCAGGCAGCACCGACCTCCTCCCTGCTCCCAGCCCATCCACAAACTGGACAGCGTCTCTGCTCACTGACAGTGGACGAGACAGCGACCTCATCTACAGATTTGATGGGCGACAAGCTACAAATGTTCCAGATCACGTCGTGCCGCAAAACCTGACAGACCAGTTTACCATAGCAACCTGGATGAAACACGGGCCGAGTCCTGGCCTTCGAGTCGAGAAGGAGACCATACTGTGCAACTCTGACAAGACAGGTAAGGACAACAGGTCACATCAATGTCATGTTACTAATATAGACATTTTATTTATTTTTTACTTCACAATTCATTTGTGTTAAAACACACCTTTTAATAAAGACTGATATGACACAATATCAGATACTCCTTAAAGCTTTTTTTCCTCCTGCATGTCTAAGATGTGTTAAACAAGCCATCTGCACATTGCAAGCAATCAGAATTGTCTACCAGATGGCTTATTAGTTCAGACGATGTGTTGTTTGATCTTGTCATGCAAAATTTCAAAGGACTTCATTTAAAAGTCATCAAATTCTCATAAATCCCTGTTTAAATCTGAGACACTGACTGCAGCTTTTAAATGGGAGTAAATGATTTGATGAGCGTGCTTGTTAAGCAATGTCTTGAAATAAAATCTGAGTGTGGTGAAATTTATTTATTTTTTAAAGGTGCTGGGTGATGTTTAGAGTGGGCGATTTGCAGAGAACATCAAGATTTAACATTCATATAAAAGTATATTTTCTTACACATGCTGCACAATAAATCAGAAATGTGTTGTGGTTGTAATACTAATGTGTGCCATAACAGTATCTGCATGGGAATGCTATGACCAAACAAGCAAAATGCCAAGTGTGCCAATCAAATATGGTGAATTCTTAGTGCATAGTTGATTGGAAGATGGTGGATCAGGTTATAAAGCCCTTTGAGAACGATGTGATCCTCATAATGAAGACTGAAGAAAATGTAAATTCATTGTTACTTATGATGTCATTGCAATGTTGAACAGTAATTCATTCAGTAATTTCAACTACATATTTTACTACGATTCTGCAACCCTTATTGTTTATATTCATAATGTTTAAAGACTGGTATATAGAATATGATGTGATATAGTACCACAACATGATACAATACAATAGATTGTAAAATACTTTATTGCATATGTCTATTGGGATAAGCCATTTTGCTTGCATAAAAAGGCATTCTGACCCCTAAAATCATCCATTTTGTCACCCGAACCTTTTTAATATGGAGAACCTTTTTAGGCAGCTGAAATAAAATCTACTTTTAACTTGTTAGCAGGTTTTTGAAGCAAAAAGTTCAATTTGTTGGAAAAACCTTACGAGTATCCGTAACATTCTTCGCCCATGAGTCAGTTTGGTTAACTAAAATGACGTTTAACGTTTTTAACTGACCACACTGGACTGTGGGTTTCCTGTTGCAGAGATGAACCGCCACCATTACGCTCTGTACGTTCACAACTGCCGCCTGGTGTTCCTGCTCAGACGAGATTTCACCCAGATCGACACTTTCAGACCTGCTGAGTTCCACTGGAAACTAGAACAGGTGGGAAGAATAAATGTGTGTGTGTGTGTGTGTGTGTGTGTGTGTGTGTGTGTGTGTGTGTGTGTGTGTGTGTGTGTGTGTGTGT